TGAGACGAAAGGGACTGTCCATCAGGGCGCGGACGACTGTGTGTCAGCAACTCCCTCCCGACTACCAGGAAAAAATAACAAACTTCGGCGAATTCACACAAAGAAAGATAGAGGAATATTCCATCGGATCGGACCAGATCATAAATACGGATGAAGTGCCTTTGACGTTTGACCTGCCTCTCACTAGGACTGTTAACAAGAAAGGTGAATCGTCCATCACGTTGAGAACCACTGGCCACGAGAGAACGAATTTCACTTGTGTTCTTGGCTGCACAGCATCTGGATTAAAGCTTCCGCCAATGGTGATTTTTAAGCGGATTACAATGTCAAAAGAAAAGATCCCGAACGGCATCTCCTTTAAAGTCAACAAGAAAGGGTGGATGATGGAAAGTGTAAGGAGTGGCTGAATGAGTGCTACGTCAAGCGCCCTGGAGGATTGTTTCGCCAAAAAAAAGCTTTGCTCGTTTTGGACAGCATGAGGGCCCATATAACAGATTCTGTGAAAGCAGCCATCAAGAGCACAAACTCAATTCCAGCTGTGATTCCTGGGGGCACAACGAAGCATCTGCAGCCACTCGACATCAGTGTCAATCGTGCGTTCAAAGTGGCACTACGCGTTCAGTGGGAGGCGTGGATGACTAGCGGCGATAAATCATTCACCAAAACTGGTCGCATGCGAAAAGCAACTTTCGCTCAAGTTTGCGAGTGGATCCTGACAGCGTGGAGGAGTGTCAAAACATCCACGATCACCAACGGGTTCCGAAAGGCTGGACTGCTGCGTGATGAAGAGGAGGACGCCGCCACAGCTGAGGCCCTTCAGAGGCTGTTCGATTCCGACAGTGACGAAGAGGAGTTCGTTGGTTTTGAGAGTGACAACGAAGGAGAGAGGAGAGTGGCTGACGAAGCCACCCTGAGTTTGTTTCCGACACTGAAGATGAGGACTTTGGTGGTTTTAGTACGCAGTGTGGAAATTGATGTAGAGTATTATGCATAAAATGTGATGTAGCATATTTTTGGTATATTCATTTTAATGTCACTCATATATAATGGGTATTATTATTATTATTGCATCATGTTATCCCTAATATATGTGTGGGTTTATACATTCCTGTGTGTTAATAGTTGAAGGAACAAAGTACATTTTTCCTCTTAAATATAGAGAGGTTTTTTATAGATTCCTGAAACAATGTTCCCTTTTTCTTAAAAGTAGATTAGCGCAATAGTCTTTTTCTTTCACTTTTACCCTTTTATCAAAAGGGTATTTTTAGGCTATTTTTGAGGAGGTAAAATGCAGAATTACTTGTGAGTTCTGTTTTGAGTGAAAAGATTACCCCTTTGCGTGTTTTTCTTGGTTAACCATTAGATATAATGGTTAAATTCTTCTTAAGTTAATGATGCGCATCCTGCAGGCCTTGAGAATTGAGTCACACAGTTAAGAGAGACAATGGTCCTTCTGATTCTGGGTGAGCTGACTTCGGGTGGATGGAAGTTCAGAGAGGGCCTGGGGGTATGAAGACAGTTAGGCGTTGTTGGTGAGCTGGTCCTGAGGAGGACATGAGATGATGACTGTTAAATTCCCAACAAGTATGGCTTTCATAAAGAAAAACCTATGACTTGTGTGATAAGCTACATAATAAGATGTGTTTTGTTGCAAAGTGAGCCTGTTTTGTTCTCTGCTGGCACGCGCTGATTCACGGTGACACAGCATCTTTTGCATCTCCCAATGAGATGACCTGAAAAGATTACCAGCTGACCTAACCCCTCCTGTTTATTCTTGTATAGCTCCTGTTGGGTCCTGGCGTTCGCTCTCTCTTCTCGGGCTGCCAGGACCGAAGGATCTACGCAGCACACGAACCAGGGCAGGAGTGGGCCTACTCCTTACATTACAGTATAATTGTATTGTATTATATTGTATTGTAATGTATTATATTGCATTGCATTATTACCTTTTATAATTAAAACAGATTATTGTTTAAACTGGTATCCTGGTGTTCTCTGATTTCCTTCCTGTTATGATTTTAAGCAGGACTCGCCAAAACGACACGCGGAGCCGAGTTGGGTTGTAAAAACCTCAAAACTCTAACAGCAGGAAGAAGATGAGGATTAATGACTTGACTTTTCTGGTTACAGGCGTGTACTGCACCTTAGCCTAAAAGATGAAGACGAGGATTAATGACTTTTCTGGTAGGCTGATTACCGTATATTTTAAGCAGCCGTGTTACTGCAACTTTAGGCTTACGCGCTTACTGTCGTGTTACAGGCACTTTATTTTGCACTTTTAAAAAAACACATTTAATTTAGCCATTGATATTGCCTCGTCAAGCGCTGTAAGCTTTGTAGGCTATAATGTAGATCAGTGGTTTTCAACCTTTTTCATGCCAAGGACCCCTAAATTGATACACATTTGGCCGCGGACCCCCAATTGAAAATATTTTGTGCCAGGGACCCCCAGAAGCAAAGATATCAGTTAATTTTCGCTTTAAAAAATATAAATATTCAAAGATGTGCACACTTTTTCAAGGTTTTTCAAAAATAGCCAAAGCTAAGTGGTTAAATGATTGTGACGCTATTAACTAATTTTGCTGGGGAACCCCTAGCACTCCCTCAAGGACCACTGGTGGTCCCCGTACCACTGGTTGAAAACCACTGCTGTAGATCACTGCCGGTACGTGCGCTGGGAGCGCACCGTTTAAGTTTGAAAGTTGAAAAGTTTGTGTGTCTGAAACGCTATGTGATACAGTACAGTTTACACAGCACAGTACATGTTCTGTAGCTACTATTGCACTAAATGGTAACACTTGAATACGTTATGCAAATATGCAACTTGTTTGTTGAAATGTTAATAAATGGGAGCTTCCTCAAACAGCCATCTCTTTCCCGACAATCCCCTCTGTGCACGAACCCTTACATATGGTAATTAAACATTAAAACACCTGCGGCTTATAGTCCAGTGCGGCTTATATATGTACACATCATTCAATTTAGCTGCTGCGGCTTATATTCAGGTGCGCCTTATAGTCCGAAAATTACGGTAATTATATTTCAGAGGAATTTAATTACATACAGTAACGTTGAGGGAAGGTAAAAAGAGGTTTACTGAGTATATGAAGTACATGTAGGTTAAGGTTCGATTCAAATTAAATATAATAGTGGATTATTCCACCTAGATTAGACATAGAAAGAGGAGAATTTGTTAAAACATTAGATAACAAACTCACTGTAAGAAATATATATTGTAATGTTATTTAGGAGTTGTATTGATCATACAACAGTGAGATAGGAAACTGAAAGCGCAAACAATTCACCACAATTGTGTTTTTAAGGTTGTGTAAGTTTGTCAGTCAGAGGGAAGCTGTTAATGTTTAAACATTACAGAGGTGCTGCACGAGGCTAAAAGCCATCTCACACGGTTTGATAACACATGGAGGTGATTGATGAGAGAAGCTTGTGGATGGGAGCAGGCAGCTGCAGAGAGAGAGAGAGAGACAGGGAGAGACAAGGAACTATGATCAAATGATAGGAGATGAGATGTTGGGAACTTTAGGCTCAGCTCTAAGTGTTATGAACTGGCCTTGTCTGGTTACATTTTTATTGAAGCCAGACTACAAGTCATATGGTTTAATTTGTATTGAACTCAGTCTCCAAGCAGTGTGGTTTTTATCCGCATGTGTTGAGTGTTCCCCTCCCCATTCCCCCAGTCACATGGGGCCAGTGCTATACTGCTAAGCTAGTTGGCCAGCCAGTTGGCATACTAGATGGTGAAATAGTTGGAGTAAAGATGTACACGAACAATGAGAGTAGATTAAGTTGTTTTGTTTTTCATGCTTTTCACCAAGGCTTATTTGAGTGGTTATTGTTTTAATGTAGTGTTGTTTTGTGTTATATTTCCGAACTATAATGTACCCACACGCATGTGGTTTATTTGGCACAGTTCATTTTAAAGTCAGCCACCTCATGGCTAGATCTCATCTCTGAGAGTCCATTGTGTTAATGTTAAGAGGTCCTTTTGTTCTTCAGGCCACATGTTCAGGATGATCCACATCCAAGTTATTTGACCCCATGAGGTCAAGAGTCATTCTGTTAGACCACAATCTTGTGTAAGACAAATCATTGTTCTTTTGTCACATTTTGAATTACATAAGATTTCATTTTGCTAAATCAATTTATCTATAAATGTTGTAGTTGGAGTTTGGTGTTTGCTAACATTTTTAGGAACGACATAGGCCTACACTTGGGTCAAATTACATTACTGTGATCTGATTAGTGTGCTCTGCAGGTTTACTATTGTTCTAACCAAGCAGTGGGATTTTTAAGTACAGGGGGGTTCTTTCATAGTGTGTGAAATATGCGATGCTGGAAACATGTAGGTGTTGAAAAACTTAGTTTGGGTAAATATGTCACAATGGATGAAACGATTATTAGAGGGAGTTTTTGTAATATCATTAGTAGACATTAATTGTGTTGTTTAGATGGCAGTTAACTACTAAGACAAATAGTATGATTAGAAAGAGACAGAGTGGAAAGGGTTGGATTTATTTAACCTCAGTGTGCTAGAATTTCTATAGGTAATGCGTCCCGAGACCTGGACTCTCTCTCTCTCTGCCTGTCAGACGGCTAAGACCCCGATCCGCTTGAGCAAGCAAAGGCCTATCCCAACCAGGAGACTGCTCCTTCTCAAGAGACCAGACAGAGAACCAGAGCTGAACCACCAACAACAATAAGAACTGCATCCAGAACTATCTCCACCTGTGGCATCCAGAACCAAACAGCTTGCTGACAGGCAGAGATCTACTCTCATCAGTCCCTCAGGCAGGGCATGAAGTTCCAAGCTGAGCCACGAGATTTGGCACAAGAGCAAAGTGTGGGACATGAGAGCAGAATCCGCCCTCCATAAGAACAGCAAAGAGACTGTAAAGGAGGAGATGAAATGCAAAGCAGTACAAAAACCGCGGCATGATGGGGGCTGCAGATGTAGCTGGGCAGATGGCTGCCTCAAAGAGTTACAGCTGATGGATAAAGGGGGAGGAGTCAGAATCAGAGGAGATGGTGGAGCAGAATGTCACGGTGGCCGGGGTCGCGGCTTGAGATAAACCAGAGGAGAGAGGAAGGGAATCAACGGGAATGAGTGAGTTTACACATAAACACACTTATTATAAGCGCACATTTAAAGAACTTGAATTGACTTGATAAATAAGTGAAGATAAAAAGCCATACCCATGAATTAATCAATTGGTAAATTAAAAATAGCAGTAAAGAGGAAACTATTAAAGTAAAATGAGAATCATCCGAAAACACTGAGGGATAAAGGGGGAGACATGACAGAGTAGAACCATATGCTTCAATCTTTTCATCATGTTAACAAATTATTCTTCAAGAGATTTGTATTCACCTGTGAATAAAGTACTGATCTCATTTGTTACAATATTGATCACCATTAAAAGGATACTTTTAGGAACCACTCTATAGGACAAATCTTTATTTGTATGGATAAGGCTAAAGGGAGAGCTGGTGCCAAGCCAAATGAATTAATAAATTATGGCGCTCCATATATCCAGCGTGACTCCAGCGTGTCCAGAACGCAGCTGCCAGACTCCTTACCCACACCAAATCATTGCATCACATCACCCCGGTCCTCAAAGAACTCCCCTGGCTCCCCGTTTCACACCGCATCCACTACAAACTCCTGGTCCTCACTTTCAAAGCCCTCCACCATCTGGCCCCCCACTACATCACTGACCTCCTCATCCTCTACCAACCACTCCGGAGCTTCGGGGACAGAGCCTTCTCTGTGGCAGCCCCGAAGCTCTGGAACTCCCTCCCCCAATACCTCCGTGAGTCTGAGTCCCTCACCCTGTTCCAGTCCCGCCTCAAAACCCACCTCTTCAACTCTGTATCCATAAGCCCCCCCCCCTCTCAATCAACTTCCTCCTGACTGCTATTCTGTTTTGTTTTGTTTCTTTTTGGCATTGTCTTTGTTTTGTTTGTCTACCCTCCCTCCCAAATGTAAAGCGTCTTTGGGTTCAAGAAAAGCGCTATAGAAATAAAATATATTATTATTATTGTGAGAGAATATTTTAATACGATCTGTGTATCTAGAGGTCCTCAGTCTTTCTGTAAAATGTTAATCACAAAGTTATGCTTTTTGGTAAACCGCATATATTCCTGCCTGTAATGTGATCCTGTGTAGCTTCTCAGGAAGACACAGGTCAAGAGGTCATCTGATATCCTGTGGGGGAGAAGCTTGGCTCATGTGGGTTTGCAATGCAACGAGTCTTTGTCTCGACATCTGGCATGCATTAAAGGAAAACCCGCGTGTTTTAGGGCCCTCCTCTTCTCATGTATAGATGTGTTCCTGGCTCCTTTGTCTTCAGAGTTTGCTGGTATCTTACATGAGAACTGTGATATACTGTGATCTCTCCGGCCGTACGAATTCTCAATAAATATCAGTGTATTGACTAAGGCGAATCCAGTTTCCCTCATTTCATGATTAGCTCAACATTGCTGCAAAGAAGTTTTTACTTCACAATTATTATTATTATATATGACAGATTTTTGTAGACAAAGGATACTGGCCTATGCTGAAATATCAAAGTCTCTGCAGAGCACGACACATGGCCAAAAAGACTGAGACCAACTGACCTTTGACCGACAGTGTAACTTGAGAAGGCACTGTCAATGACTGACTCTGGGGTGAACCTGACCAAACTTGACTTTACAACCTGACAGTGTGAGTGTGAGTGTATGTCTGCATGTGATCAGTGCAACTGCATGATTTAAAACAATGACTAATCAAGCATGTTTTTGGACTAACACATTATTGTGGGGCTCAACACAATTCCACAGAATTGGAAAACCGCACTTGTGCACTCCCACAGGAGTTTGCAGAATGTGAAACTCAAACTAAAACATGAAGATTCTGTTTCTTTTAGGACTGAAAGATGGAGAGAAACACTTCATTTCACTGAAGTGTTTATTGTGGAAAATTATGGATGTACATTTGGGAAAAATGTTTGGTATTTTCTTATAATCCATTATTACCTGAAGGTTTTCTTCCCATACAGGATTACACATGAGTTCATGTGTAAAAAGGGGGAGTGTAAACTTCACAATGTACATTTTTAATTTAGGGACTGAAAGGAACCTGCTGCCCCAACTCGATTGTTCAATCTGACCATTGATTGACAGTTTTAGAATTGACCTGCTCCATATCTGGGGATAAGATACTGTTTGATGAATGTTGACATGTCTCTAATATTGATTGAGTTATAACAGGTAACACAGATGCAGAATCAGTGGCCAAGGGGCTACTGTGAGAGATGTAACTCCAGAATGGAATACTGAAGAAGTTGACCTGTGAGTAATGTTTCAACAGGTATAAAAGTAACTGAGGTTTGAAATGTAGAAAGAACATATTATAGTTAAAGCTAAAACATAGTAATGTAATGAGACAGAATTTAATTTAGACAACATCATGTAACTAGCCTGGTAAAGAAGTAAAATCCATAGACTTTATTGTTTAGGTCATTATGGGGATATACATTTCATCTAAATTCATAATAGAAAGACATTTGATGACAGTTTGTGGGAATTCTGTATTCATTTTTTCAGCGTGATAATATCTAAGCACTGACAGGTAGAAGCAGTATCACCAGGAAATCATTCACTTTGTCAGTATCGTGATTTTGGTTGTTTTTGAATCCATAACATTAGTGTGTTTCTTTACCAGAAACATTAGCCGTTCATATTATATTTAGATTTTAAATGGGATCTCAAGGATTTCATTTAAAAATAAACACAGATGCTTGTCAGAAATTCAGAGCTATTGAAATATGTTATTTAGTTTACCTAAAGATGTTGGGGTTCTTATTTAGTTGGCACAGTCCAAGTATTAAGATTCTGAAGCTGCACTGGCAGATAGGAGGTCTACAATTAATTTAGAAAACCTGTTCACAGACGTCTGTTGTTTTAAGACACCCCACCAACAGGCTCCAAGCAGCCTACGCAGTGGTGGGTCAAATAGCTGAGGGCCCAGGAGCCCTGAGCGTAGGCTTGAGGGATTTGTATCAGATTTCTCCACACAGGTTGGTGATGCCAAAAGGGGGACCCAGGAGGCCGACACAGCGGAGTTCGTCTGGCTGAAGGTCATCAGGCCAAAGTGGCTCAACCCCAGGCTCTCCGGCCCTGCCCGAGTGACCCAGCGGATCTCTCATGCCGTCCGCATAGGAGGAAAGGGGGACAGCTCGTACCACGGGAGCCAGTGTGCGGCGGGGAAACCACCTGCTAGGACCGGGGACGACATCAGGACGGACGTGGCCCTCGCAGAGGAGGACTACTCGGAAGCAGCCATCAGTGGACTGGAGGAGCAGGATTCTGAAGACAGCCCTACAGCAGACTACTCGGAAGCGGCTGTCAGCGGGCTGGGGGACTTGTCGAGGCAGCAGAGGAGTCTACTTCTCTCTGATCAGTTCCACCCGTGACGGGAAAGCCACATCTCCCCCTCCCTATCAGCTGCCCTTGTTGTATTCCTCTGAGGGGGGGGGCTGATGATTCACCACACAAGGAGACTGCTTTCTAGCACTCAGGTTGCCCTCTAGTGGTTCCTTCACTGCCATGGAAAGTTGTGTTCTGTTCCCAAAGGGTCTCAGTTTCTGATAGATTTATACAATGTTGGGAGACGGACACAGTAGAAAAGAATGACAGTAGATATGTTTAAAAATGCCTTGTGTAAGTTTATCTCTTGAGAATGAGATAAAAAGGGGGAAATGTGGTAATTGAAGATTTTATCACCTGATATATAAGAAGTGTTACGTTTGAATGGCAGAAAGTCTTGTTGCAATTTCCAGATATTGAGGGAGGCCCCTTGAGTTTCCCTGTTAATTATAAATAGTCTGTGCAAAATAGCGGGGGAAGCCAAAGGGGGATTTTCCTCAGATATAATGGTTAAATTCTTCTTAAGTTAATAATGCACAGCCTGCAGGCCTTGAGAATTGAGTCACACAGTTAACAAGACAATAGTCTGTCTGAATTGTCAATGAATGCATTCATTCCAGTAAACGCTGACTTCGAGGTGAAAGGAAGTTCACAGAAGCCCTTAAAGCGACAAGAACAATTAACTTCTGTTAATGCTAAGGAGTGTGTGTCTATTTGAGCAGCTATATGTGAATTCTGCTCAGACAATACCTGTGTTTGTGGTTTATTGATTTCTTTCTGTTTTATTCTTTCATGTTGTGAGTACTAAAATTGCCACAACATTGTGAAGAAGTGGGCTTAAATGTGCTTAAATTACTCTATGTGAAATAAGGTGCAGTTATGCAGGACAGGAGACTAGATGGGGGAGGGGAGCCGAGAGGGAAGTCTGAAGAATGTGTGTGTGTGGAAGCTGCAGGAATACGAGCCAGATGTGTTTGTTTTGCTTCAAACTAAGACTGTTTCCGGATCATCTCGGCTGGCACGCGCTGATACGCTACGAAAGCCCATCGTTTATATATGGGCCAATAGATGACCTGTATGGGGGTAGCATCCACACAGCTCCTCCCTTGTTTTTACAATATCTCCTGTTGAGTCCTGGTGTTCGCTCTCTTTTTCTCCTGCCGTCAAGATGATAAGGTTCTCCCGGCATTTGGACCAGAGCAGGGGGTTGGGCCCACCCCTTTGAGAAGTGTATTTGTATTATTACCGTTTATCATTAAAACAGATTATTGTTTAACCCTGTATCTGGTGCTTTGAATTCCTTCCTTTATGATTTTACAAGATGCTCACCAAACGAACATACGGAGCCGAGGTGGGTTTTAAAACCACTCCAACAATGTCCTACAGCCACCATGGCCTGTGCCCCTGATACTGATAACATCTCAAAGTTGCTTTAAAAGCGTCAGAACAGTGGTTTCTGGGCTTTTGAATCCGGCCCGCCGAATATTGGTACAAAATTGACCAAATTATAGTAAAGACCGCATTCATTTTGTCTTTTTCCTGCAATACCCGGCATTTCAGTTGATCCCACTAGATGGCGCACTCTAGACACAACTTACCTTTGCTGGAGTCTGGTCTATTCAGCTGGCCCCACTCGGCAACCCGGTGTTGTGTCACATATGCCCCCCCGTCATGAAATGCCCCCCTTGTCACGGGAACGTGCATTTCTAAATGACACGTTTACACCTTAAAACGATGTTTAAAACGAAAAGTAAACGTTCAGGGTTTTTATTAATGGTAATTTTCAGACTGTGAGTTGTTTAGTGGGAGCTCATAGTCTTGATTCTTCTGGTTTAACTTTTCGCTCCGTATTTGAGGTGTCGAAATTCATTCGTCACTTCCTTTTCAGTTTTTGTTTTCTTTAATCTTTTTTTTATCATTATTGTTACGTCCTGTCTGTATAAACGTGCTTTAAAATGTATTGTTTAATTTTACATAGTTGTCATCTAATAATCAAAATATATGTTTTCAAATGTTACATAGTCTTTGTCAGCATATTATTATATATACACGCTATGCGTACAAAATAAAAGTGTCACATTCATGAAACTTGCTCCATTTATTGGTACCAGTCCTAGAACCATACCCTGAGAAATGCTTGAGGGTTGGATTAATAGAAACCTCTTTTGGGGGGGGGGGGGGGCATTTTATGACAGGCCTGGCCATCACAATATGCCCCCCCTTGCTATCTTACAAAATAAAAGTGTCACATTCATGAAACTTGCTCCATATATTGGTACCAGTCCTAGAACCATACCCTGAAAAATGCTTGACGGTGGGATTCATAGAAACATATTTTGGGGTGGAGGCATTTTATGACAGGCCAAACAATAGTTGCATTGGTTGAAATGACAGTGGACAGTTAATGATGGTTCCTTCGGGGCATTATGTGCATCCAGCGCACAAGTACGGTTGATCCACAGCAGGCCTTGTACACATTGGTGGTGGTACCACCGCTGACAAATGTCACAGCAAATCTGAGAAAATAATAAATACTTGTTATGTAAGGTATGCATTATGGGATTTTTTTATGATAATAGAATATCTCTAATGTATTTCCCAATAACATTCTAACCATTCCTTCAATTATCAAAATCTTTCAAAAACATAAGTGTTGTGTTATGAGAAAAAAATACATTTTCAACAAAAATGTATGGAAAAACAAGCAAAACATTAATCCTTTATCAGTTAATTCTGAAGATGCCAAATATAGTAGCAATTACCAACGCAAATGTTATGTTGATAAAGTCTGGAAACATATTTCTGCTAATTTTCTTTATTTGTAATGTGCAATAGGAAATTACCCAATGTTCTTCATCCTGCTCCTCCATCCCGCAGTAAAAGCAAAGCCTGCTTAGATCATCTGTTGAGACAAAACGTAGATACATCTTCAGATAAACCACATTGCAGATTTGGGGTCAAGGTGACCCATTCCAATTTTTGACTAAAAGGTCAATTGTATAAGGACACATTTGTTGTGGTCTTTTATTATTTTGTGTGAAGAAAAGGCAAAACACACAAACACATAGATTTTCTAAATTATTAAATCTGAGCACAGAGGAGCCATCTGCTCCTTCTTTCACACTCTCCTTACCCTCTGTAGAATGGGAACCTGCACAATGTCATTACAAAACATCCAAAAACTTATTTTGCACTGTATGCATCAATTTAAGTTTGGTTCTAATGGTTCTTTTGTTGTTCATCACATGTATTAGCTTTACAGCTTTGATGATAATAAGTTCAAAGTAAAAATTAACTGAGGTTATCAGTTAGAAGTAATACACACCAAAGAGCACATTGAAAGGAGGAAGATGGGGAAATCTCACATCTTAAATAAACCGCATTATTGAAAGGGTGTGTTAGAGTGTGGTCAGTGTATGTTTTGGTCATTGGATTTTCTTTTCACAAATGGATATTCAAAAACAAAAAATGACTGGATATTTGATTTTCGTTTTCAAATTGAAAAACCAAAATTGAAATACAAGGCGTTTTTCTTTATCATGGTAAAAAATTGATTTACTAAACTTAAAAAACGGGATGATTTTCATTTTCTACTTCTCAAAACAAAAATAAAATCACTAGAAAACAGAAACAAAAAAAACCCCCGTTTTTTCATATTCTGCTACCGGAAGTTGTCTTTCAAAATAAGAGCGCAGATGAGGACGGCCAATCCGTGTACGGTCCATTTGTTTTCACAACGAAAACAGCCAAGACACATATTGAGCCCAGATAATGAATGTTATTGAGGGCTGGAAATATAATAGGCCTCTGTCTAAAATGGACAACATTGTTAGGAGATTTCAACTATACAGCGATTCTGTACTGCGGTCACTCAGCCGTCTCTCGAGTTTGTTATTATTTTTTCTGCCAATAGTTATTCGTGAGATCGATCCTGTTGGACTCAGTAGCCTACTAGTGAAACTACTCCAACAAGTACTATGAAGTACTTACTGTGTACTTTTTGAGTAATCCTCTGTCAATGTCCCCTCCCGCAACCCTGTCTCCTAAAAATTACGTTCCCACAGAACTAAACTGCATTCTCAATTACGTTTAGCGAGAAACTTATTTTCTCCCACGTTACGTTCGTTATGAACGTATCTCAAATACGTTTATTTTCTACATATCTTCTAGAAACATATTTTCTCCCACGTTACGTTTCTTGTGAACGTATCTTAAATACGTTTATTTTCTACATATCTTTGCCATTTATTGTCTTGCTTATAATAATGATAATAGTCATTTATAAATATCATTGTAGAGCACACATTTGAAATCAGTAGGCGAGGCTGTAATTTCGCCAGCTGTTACTCTCATGAGTGAGGCAGAAAATAATAGTTTTAACATGCCAAAAAGCTGCTGTGTCGTTTATTGCACCTCAAACATGAAAAAAAATCCAGAGTTACGTTTTTCTGTACTTCCTCTAAGAAGAAAGGACAGTAACAGAAGATCTCTGTGAAGCCAGATGTGGTGTTGTTAATGCGATATTATATCCGGAAAAAAAATTCAGTTTAGGATGGCCGAAGACACTACACTACCCATAATCCCCAGCTATCCTTTGGGACTACAGTCCCGTTGACAAACCCCGTGATTAATCTTCAAGCTCTGGGATTGGATGTTGGAGTGGCAGTGCGCCAAGGTTACGCCGAGCGTCAAGCTGTTTGAAATGGAACGAAACCACGGCAGACTATCCAAAACTGGACCGAACGCCCCCCCGAGAACTACACATGGTGGCTATTGTGTTTCGCAACATGTTCTCTATGGCACGTCTCTACTGGGAATTGTAGTTTTAAAAGACGTTTTCTTTTTCCCCAAAATTAGAAGTTGACACTGACAGTATTAAACTGTGTACATCCCTGGAGGTTTAGGCGATAGGAAACACATTGGTGTGTACACATTTAAAACATGTAATTACTAAATGGGTGAAAATCGCTTGTATCCATAATGGGCAGCATTAATATATACCCACATGACAGCTCATTACTTTGTAATTCTACTCCACTACAATTCAGAGGTTAACCTGGTATTTTTACTCCACTACATTTATTTTAGTTACTTTGCAGATTCTGATTAATGATGTGAAATATAAACAACCCTTAAAGCAGACTTTAGTTACACCTGAGTAAAATTCAGGGAAGGTGATTGTCAAGTGCCAACAATCAGGAGAGATATTTGATAGTTGGTGCTTGAGAAGACTAAACATTTATCTGCAGATCTCTATAAAGTATATTAATTACTCGTTATTCTCTACTAATATTTACTTAAAAACTGTATAATGGCTATTTTGCACATCCATTTCAAGATTTCCTAAGGTTTATTGACATATCATACACACAACTACGGTGTAGTTATGCAATGAATGAAAAACTTGGGTCGCAGGTTCCTCAACAGTGCATTACAAGACATCTATCAATATGTGTGTACATCCACCATTAAACTGTCATATTCTGCACATTTCTTATACTATCTACATACATAAGAGTATAATTAATGTGTATAATATCAGTTAAAATAAGTGCTTCAACATAGTTAACATTGCAGGAAAGCAATATATTAGACGTTAAGCACTTTGTCAGGCTTAATATTTATCTGTAGCTTTTTTCTTATTTGAAAGAAGACCTTAACCTAAAGTATTCTTTAATGTGTTAATAAAGGTTAATTAGTTTGTCTGTTTTGCAGATCCTCATATTAATATATTTGTACATCCAGCACTAAACTGTTTATTGTAGAGATCACTTACAGTATCTTCTTTTTTTTAATATTCTATATTTCTATCATTGACCTTCTACTTTCCACCTATGAAAGTATGTACTCTTAAAGGTGGGGTAGGTAAGTTTCAGAAACCGGCTCGAGTGCACTAAAATTTGAAAATACACAGCCGAAAAGAATCCGCCCCTTCCTTCAGACTTCCTTACAGAGCACCTCCTCCAACACACATGAACGCGCACATGACGTCTGCAGATTGGTGAAAGTGGCCGCCTGGCGAGTCATTGAAGTACTGCTGCAATGCACGCCCAATGAGGGCACGAGATACATTTGTGCGTGCACGAGATGGAAGGCTGACAGACAGGGCGGCAATCCAATCCAAAAAGTACAACCAATCCGTTTAGCCGGCGATGACAGATGACATTTTTTAATGGATTTTTTGTCAAAGCACTTAAGATATTCATTGCTATCGGGATGTTAAGAGCATTCCATGGAATATAACAAAAAGTGTATCTCGAGCCGGTTTCTCAAACTTACCTACCCCACCTTTAATATTGTTTTCATCAAATAACATTATTCAACAAAAATAACATTATTCAACAAAAATAATTCAATAACGTGCTTTAACCACTAGGCGGTGCACACAAGGAACACACAGCATACTAATAATAACTTTGTATTATTAGTGTAGGACACTTATGTATGTATAACATCTGAAGATGTGTAGTTTTATTCATGTTTTTACATAATTTTACAGGATATTGCTATACTATTTCTCATGTTTTACTTCTACACATTAATATCTGATTTGTAAAACATCACAGACAGAAAGGTATATCCGTCATTTAATGGTAAGCTATTGAAATTGTGAATCCATAGATGTGTCTCCCATCGCCCAAATCCCCTGACTATTCGCTCAACTCAGTATTTACATTCTTATATTCAAAGAAAATCAGTAATATCTTTAAAAATTACAAGTCCTTTTCTATCAGCTGTGAACACTCGGAATAAAGTATTTTTTTTGAAAAAATGTTTTCGGATATCATATCGCATTAACATCATATCCCAACATGCATTGTGGCTAAAACATCCAATCAACGAGCTTCAAGCTGAGGATCTTGGGTAATCTGTTCAGTGGGTTTGTGGTGTGTATCACTCAAAAATATCCCTTATACTGTAGGCCTACGTCTGTTTCCAGTGACTTTATTTACGGCTAAAAAGCATGCTAAAAAGCCCAAGATTATAGAATTAAACGAATAAATAAAAACAAGGATAATTGTGTGTTATTGTTGAGTAAATAACAGTGTGTTATTTAGAAAATAATAACAAATTAGAAGGAAAAAAAGATTTTCAAAAATACAGATTTCAGTATTTTGAGGCTCTGAGCCCCATTTCTTTTCCTCACAGACGGGAAAAAAAGTCCGACATTATACGATTTAAAATAAAAACAAATAAATAAAAAGATAAAACACTGGCATGTAATTTACGTTAGAATAAATAGAATGGTTTTGAATAATTGATGAGAGTAAAATCTACGTCACTTTACAGCCCGCCCACTTTTGGGGAAACCAACGCTGTCATTTGAACGGCGATCAAGCCAGAAGCCACAGAGATCTTCTGTTACTGTCCTTTCTTCTTAGGCAGTACAGAAACACACACACACACACACACACACACACACACACACACACACACACACACACACACACACACACACACACACACACACACACACACACACACACACACACACACACACACACACACACACACACACACACACACACACACACTAGGGGTTTCACCAACTAATCGACTAGTCGACTACCTTTACCATTAGTCGGCGCTGTAGGCCCTAGTCGACTCTTTGTGTGTCTTTATTATGACGTAACGACTAGTCGACTACTATTTTGAAAAACGTGTCGACTAGTAAATATTGGTAGTTGTGAAACCCCTAACACACACACACACACACATACACAAAGAAAACCTTTTGAATTCATATAGAGTTGTTTTTTCTATTTCTTCTGAATTGTAGAAATCCTTGGTGTTTCAATACCCTCGTATTATATCATTGTTGCCCTGAGGCAACAAACCAACCCCTGGTTGAGAGGTGTGGGGGGTCACATTTTATAATTGATATAATATCATTGACCCCTAAGCTCCTAAAACACATGGTGAAACATTGTTTTTCCTCCCAAAATAAAAATTCATGCCATAAGGGATAAGGCACTATTAAAAATATTCTTAATTTGCAGTATTTTATTTTAAAAGTGTTCAGAAAGACTGCATCAAATATGCTATATCTATATATCTATATAATATCAATATTGTTATTAACTTCAATCAAAGTCAATTTAAATAGCGGGCAAGACTTTCCAAGGAGTAAAAATGCTACTGCCGGACTACTGACCGGAGGTATTGCTGGATGCTTACCATCCTCTTAAAATACTCTGTCCAACAATGAAGAAAGGTGTTTTAACGCTGATTCAAAATAGCAGAGAAACATGCATTCTTGTTCTCAGGAGGGGACATTGACAGAGGATTACTCAAAAAGTACACAGTAAGTACTTCATAGTACTTGTTGTGGGAGTAGTTTCACTAGTAGGCTACTGAGTCTAACAGGATCGATCTCACTCACGAATAACTAACAAACTCGAGAGACGGCTGAGTGACCGCAGTGCAGAATCGCTGTATAGTTGAAATCTCCTAACAATGTTGTCCATTTTAGACACAGGCCTATTATATTTCTAGCCCTCAATAACATTCATTATCTGGGCTCAATATGTGTCTTGGCTGTTTTCGTTGTGAAAACAAATGGACCGTAGATACATGGATTGACCGTCCTCATCTGCGCTCTTATTTTGAAAGACAACTTCCGGTAGCAGAATATGAAAAAACGGGGGGTTTTTTTGTTTCTGTTTTCTAGTGATTTTATTTTTTGTTTTGAGAAGTAGAAAAGGAAAATCATCCCGTTTTTTAAGTTTAGTAAATCCCTTTTTGACCATGATAAAGAAAAACGCCTTATATTTCAATTTTGGTTTTTCAATTTGAAAACGAAAATCAAATATCCAGTAGTTTTTTGTTTTTGAATTTCCATTTGTGAAAAGAAAATCCAATGACCAAAACATACACTGACCGAGTGTGACGTGTGTAGCCTATATGAAATTGCAGTTGAAGATGCCTGCCTGCGATGGACGAAGGTACGTTTTAACCGTTTGTTTTTTCGTTCTAATTTAAACAAAAAAAAAAGCAGAAACGGGTCGTTTTTTTGTTTTTCAATTTTGCCCCAAAATGAAAAAACGGAAATTCAGCTCGTTTTTTCATTTTTCTGTTCTTACTGTTAAAACAAGTATACCACTCAATGTTTCGTTTCCATAAGTGGGTGTGTCTCCAGCGCCTCCTTGCTTCTGATTGGCTAGTGTGCCTTATGCTTGCGCTGTACTCTTCAAAATAAAGGTTCTACGTCTTTGCCTTTAGACTGCGTTACAAATATATGTATATTATTATATTCATACATACAAGTACAGAAGACAGTCTGTCCGTATGTCTGTCTTTCCATGTATATGTCTGTCTCGATGTCTTTCTATCTCGATGTCTGTCTTTCTGTAACTATATTTTAGAGTTTAAAGCGGAGCCACTTTTACTCCACTACATGTATTTAAAACCTTTAGTAACTTTACAGATTTCGATTAATTATGTGAAATGTAATCAACACTTAAATCAGACTTTAGTTCCACCTGGAGTAAATTCACAAGCTACCCTGCTGAATACAAAGTCATTCAAACTAGCTGCACCTTTACCAGCTTTGAGAACACTTTCATGATTGTTATGGAAATAATTATCATAGACGCCAAGATGTGACATACAGGACAAACCTTGATGTCTGTTTACCTTCTTTAAGGACACAGGCTGCTTAGCCAATAATGTTATTGTTCCCATTCTGTGACCGGTCAATACTGGGTCACAGATGGTCTGTGTTGTGGGTACACTGGGACACTTCCTTCTCTGTATTTGTGGACTCCAAGGTGAAATCTTCGAGGTCATAAGTGTCCGACGCAAGTAGCTCAGTGTTCCCACACTGTTTAGGCTATATTCTCAAATATGTTGTTTACTCTCTGCGAAACCAGTTAGATGGGCTGGCAAGAGAGAGGCTCTCCAGAATTGACGTGGCAACTCTACCGTGAAGTCAGAACCTCTGACTCTTGGACTTGTGATGTGAATCCTCCGGCCGTAACTCCAAATAAACCATCATGTGTTTGACATCAAAGCTACTGCTCCTACCGTGTCTCCTTCCTGAGTCGGTGACTCCCACTGCATAGCTACACAGAAGTTTCCTCTACAATGATCAATCATTATAAAACACATCATATATATTGTTCTGAAATGGACCAATCTGCACAACGACTACTTTTACTGTCGCTACTTTCACTATATTTTGATGAGAATACTTTTCTACTTTCACTTGAGGAACATTTTGAATGCAGGACTTTTACTGTAACAGAGTATTCCTACACTCTGGTACTTCTACTTTGACTAAAGTACAAGATCTGAGTACTTCCACTTTTACAAGACCTGAGTACTTCTACTTTTACTCAAGTACAAGATCTGAGTACTTCTACTTTTACTCAAGAACAAGATCTGAGTACTTCTACTTTTACTCAAGTACAAGATCTGAGTACTTCTACCTTTACTCAAGTACAAGATCTGAGTACTTCTACTTTTACTCAAGTACAAGATCTGAGTACTTCTACTTTATTCAAGTACAAGATCTGAGTACTTCTACCTTTACTCAAGTACAAGATCTGAGTACTTCTACTTTTATTCAAGTACAAGATCTGAGTACTTCGACAACCTCTGATTAATGGTTGATTTCCAAATGTTCTGTTGGTGCGTGGATGATAAAATAATAGTGTTTGATTGTATTGCCTTATGTATGCAGCTATTTGCCTGTGTTTAGAAACATAATTAAACATACCATGGACACACATTCAAACAATTTTCCATGTATTAAACATTGCAGATGAACCTGGAATTTGAACACACACTACTTAACAATAAACTTAACAATAAACTTAACAATAAACGACTGAACTGCTGTCCACTTTAGGGTAGGGCCCTTAAAGCATCCAGTGCTGCAGACAGTCCAGCAACCTGGGTATACACTGGCTCCTGATCCCTGCACTTGCCTTTACACATATCTTCTGACAATGCCTATGAGATCCTTTATCCCGTTTTGGAATGGTGCTGGCTCGTTATGAATGGCACGCTCAAAGAGTTCAGCAATGTCCGCATAGTTCCTTGCAAATTCTTGTTCAGCTGCTGTCTGGTGCTCCACAGTGGCAAATGGGTTTCTCCCAAACAGCGACACTCGTGTCAGAGAGGACCCCACTTCCTGATGATAGCAGTCTGCAGCATCTGTAGCTTCAGGCAAAAGATCTGCAGGCAGTCTCTTTGGGCACCCACCATGAGCAAGTTGATTTGGGTTACCCTTACCTTAAAAAAAAACACAAATAAGTGGCCATTGTTAGTGTAATGTTACATATCAATGAACCTCACACAGCGTGTAACCATAGCCTGCCCTTACAAAAAATGGTACTTCTGCTATTAGTACACTTCTTACAAACTTTAAAAAGTATGTTTTTAATTTGACTGTTTATGTACTTACCAGATATATATATATGTTTCATGCAATAAGAGCAATTTATAAACTAGATAGTAGATATGTCTTTACTCAGACAATTATTGAAATATTGTAATATATACATGCCACATTTAAACATTTCCATCAACCTAGTGTAAAAAAGGGGATACAGAGAGAAACAAATGTAGGATATAAGTACAACTTATAAAAATGCATAAAGAAGGTCATTTGTTATGGGGCTTAAGTAACATTCTGAAAACTGCTATACAAACCTTGGATTCTGTGTGCATTCCAGGACTGCACCATCCGGTCAACTCCAATTTTGGCTACCTGACAGGTAAGAGTGGACACACAATATCGTGTGATGTTGTCTTCGAGGTTTAGTTCCTCCTGGTCAACAAGGTGGTTGAGTGCGCCTTTCAGAGGGTAGTTTACCCTGTTGTTTACCTCTGGCCACATCCTTTCTATAATATGATTCTGTAATTTAAAGTAAACAAAAATGAGAAGAGTCAAATGTAGAGAGCACATTGTAATTTCCCATTGTTAATTTCCCAATTTCCGGCTTTGTATTTTATCCATTCCTGTTGTATCCAGTTCAAAAGTACTGTGTATCTCTCCTATGTCATAGGAAAAAGCTAGCAGTCCCCTAGAGAAGTTTAGTGAACGCCATGGGTCTATTGACAGCTTTATCAGCTAGCAGTTGGGTGAATAATGGAATGAGATCAGAAATCTTTTATTTGTCTCGCCACAGGGTAATTTACATGATTACAGCAGATAAAGTGAGGAATAAAAGACAAAAATGGCTATGTGGGGATTGTCCACAGTATTGAGTATGTAAGTCGCATTGGTTAAAAGCGTCTAACAAGTGACATGTAATGTAATGTATGAACACGTTGATTGCAATTCAGATAAAAAAACAACTCGCCTGTGTTGACTTTGTTTGCATGTATGGCTGTCTGCCTGTGTTATTCCGGAAGTCTGCCAATTTCTCCTGCATGAAAAGAGTCAAGTAGAATTCTTTTCCATGGTCTACTCGGATTTGGTCCCACATTCCATATCGTAGGACAGCACTCCTGCAAAACAGCAATACAAAAGTCTTATGACATGTAACAGAATTTCATGTTTGTTGTTACAACCTAAGCATTGCTAAAGCGAATTTTGTACACAGTTAAAATGTTGATCTCATCAATCAATTACCAAGTAACGTACAATATACAGTGGTTACCTGTCAGTAGTTTTCGATTTACAATATGTTTCCCAAATAAAACTGTTCAAATAAAGCTACATTTAGCCATTGTGTTTTTATTTAGCTAAATGTTTACTAAATTATTTACTGTCTGCTGTTTGCAACCTTTTTATTAGGTTATTATTATATTATTATAACAGAAACAGGGCACTGAAACTTACTGGTAAACCTCTTGATATATGGTCAGGTTGTTTTTCACTGGCATGGTGGAGTGGCTTACAATGTTGCTGGAGAATCCGTCCACGGCAAGGACGTGGGTCACCCCATACATCACCAGTTTCTCGTTTTGGTCAATGTGCAATTTGTGACCCATGATGTACTCTGCGCTGTATGGCACTGGATTTAAATTCCTTAATCTCTGAGGAATCAAACACAATGTTATTGTTCTCACAATATGTTTACAGCAATGTACAATACAGGAAAATCTAGATGTTTTTTAATAATACCTACACGATACCGATCTGCATGATATGGCTGGTTAGTTTCTCTGAGGACACGACCAACACGCCCCTCTGATGCTCGGATTCCTTTTGAGGCCAGGTAACCAGTCATCATTTTTCTTCCATATGTTGGTCCAGTCTGAATTTGTAAACACAAAACAAAAACTAAATAGGACCAAGGTACGTTTTAACCGTTTGTTTTTTAGTTTGGTTTAGGTCCTATCTATCTGAACGCTCTCAGTTTGTACGTGTCAATGATGAATCTTCCACGCAAACCAAAGTTAGCCATGGAGTGCCACAGGGCTCAGTGCTCGGAGAGTCGTGCAGTGACACGTCCTAAAATCATAAATCTTTCGATTCGATTTATGATTATAAAAGTAGGGTAGACATGTGGAGATTATCCGACTGAACAAAACGTGATCCGTCTCTTAAATGTGTGTCAAGCACAGACATTATTTCGAGCTATTTTCCAAAATCCTATGGCGAAATTGCATAGCTTTTTTGTCGAGGGAACCAGAAGGAACTTACTTCCGGGTTTTTAGGACGCTTCACTACGCCACTCTATTACTATGAAGTAATAAGTACAGTACTTGAGTACATCTACGTAATTACTTTACATCACTGAATTAAGCCATAGGCCTACCTCACCTCAACAGCTGCTTTAGCAACCTCTACTTCCAGTTGGGAATCGTGCACTCACTCTCTGCCTATACCATTTTGGGTACAAAAGCGACGGATGTTTGTTTGGGAGAACCCTTTTGTTAAGCCACATTCATACTGGAGATGATCGGATAGATTTTGATCAGTATAACCATTTGTTATCATACTTTGTATAACTTCTCTGTAGGCCAACAAACTGGACTCCATTATTATTAATCAGGAGGTGACTATATTTCCCGCGATCAAACTTTCCTGTCATGCGCACAGCAGTCCTGGTGTAAATTGATGGTACATTTACGCCACCATGCCGTAAATGCACCCTGTGTAATGCACACATTACCGCCAAGAACGACTTGTCGGACACGGCGATAGCAAATATTGTTAACAATAAAAACGGAGATGGAGTCATACTTTCTTTTCAGAGGCAGCCAGCGAGTTACTCTTAAAATAGACGACATGCGCGTCGACAGAATCAGCCGCATTTTTCAGGTATTTTTAAGAGATCCGTGATTAATTATTGATTGAACAGGCACATGGTGTGTTAACGTGTAACAAGCTAACCTTGTTTCAATAGCAATAAAGCTACGAGTGATCTGGACGAGAGAGTCAGTTAATCATTCAATTTAAAAACAAAACAATATTTAGATATCACATTGTAAATGGGGAAGGATATTATTAGGATGTTATCGGATTTTATCCTTAATTTGGTGCACAAAATAGACATGGCATGAAAAGATGTGAAAAGATGCAATGATAATTATTTTATATGAACTGTTTTGCACAAATAACTGCATAACTATAATTGAACTTTTCAGAAGTGAAGCAAGAAGAAACTTCAACAACTTAAAAACAGCATTTACTTGGTGACAGCCCTGAGACAATTTAGTCGTACAGTCCAGCAAGACATTTATTTATAAACTATATCAGTGACATTTAGATTGATACTGAGGTCTGATATAGGCATACAAATAATGATTAACTACTAACTGCATGTTTTTTTCAATACAATTAATAAACCACTACCACCATTGAAGAAACACAAAGGAAGAAATTATGCAAGGACACACATGGAAAGACAAAGAAGTGATTGTTTAAAAGGAAATTGTGAAATATATATAACCTGTTATTTTCTTTTAGGTCAACGCAGGTAGCCTTTTCATCACTGATGCCGCCAACGTTGCAGTTTTTCCATTGGATAGTGGGTCTTTCTGCTCCCTGGACCTCTCTGATCACGGTCATTATGAGGTTCATGGGGAAAAACCTGGGGAGACTCAAAGGATCCAGACAGAGCCAGCTGAGTCACGGCCGTTTGCTTTTCGTCATAGTCAGCCAATGTCTACTGCAAACATGAGTCAGTTGACTAGATCAATTAGCACCCCTCGGTCATTTCAAAGGTAATGAGATGCCCATTTCATACGTTGGCATGCTTTAGAATGTTACGTTTTAGTCCATGTTGCTAACTAAATGTGTGTCACTGTTCTTTGTGCATTACAGGTCAATACATGTGTCAGAAATAATGGATGGAAAGATTGTTTCCACAAGGGTGGTCATGATCAGATTTGTTGAATCAGAGGCAAGCGTTCCACTGATCACAGGAAAAGTGAATGTGGCCATGGGAGACAGTGAGGAGTACATCCTTACAGACACCGTTGGGAATGAAATCGTTGAGTCTGAAGGGACAATTGGTAAATATAATTATTCTATATTTCATTTTCATTTGTGCAAAAGATAAGGGTCTGAAAGTGCTATCAGTACAACAATGTGCCCCTTTTAACATGTTATTTTCACGTGTCTTTACTCTTTATTTCTCTCATATAGGGTCTTTGTACTGGAAGCCGAATGCAAGAAAGATCCATGCTGTTGAGAGCTCTGCTTTCAGGCAATGGCGTCGAAGAGGCTCAAGAAGCAGGTGTGGTTGGATAACAAAACTGATTTTGTCTGGAGAAGGTTTGAACTGGTCTATCAATAGGGGAAATAATTTAATGTGTAAAGAAGGGCTAGCACTCAAACTGAAGGGTCACGATATGCAGCATTTCACTTTATTTTACTCGCTAACAGACTGGCAAAACCCTCTCATTATTTGAAAAGGGCTGCTTTCTGGCCATTTAGCATTTTTGCAGCTCAAGGGCTATATAAGTTTGCCATCTGGGGCAGACATGCATAAGCATGGGCTTCACTGTAGCACACCTCAGTACTCTGTGGGTCAACACATGGTATAAAGAGTCACAGTCAACATCCGTTCTACAATCAGCATTTATAAACAATATCCTTTAAATGTAATTCAAGAAATGAAATGTTTCCACATGCTCTTGTTTATTTAGCATCATCTAATTTGCCATGGAATACATAACTTTCTTTTATCTCTAATAAAATGAAGAAACAATCTTAAATGACTGCTAATACTTAAACTATTTTCAAAATGTGACAAAAACAGAAATGAGCTATCTGAAGTCCACACACTGAGCAACAAGGTGGAGGAACTGCTGGATGCATCCCAAGGCCTGGAAGAAGTCACCAGGAAGATTTCTGACATAGTGGCAGCCAGTCAGGACTTGGTAGTACCAAGGCCAGAAGTCAAACAGGCATTTAGCTGTTTGATCTGCAGAGGTATTGTTTTCATCCTCTCTTTGAATAATGCTCAGTGTAACAAACAGTATTTAAAGAATAAAACGTATAGGTGCCGGATTTTCATATTATTCTAAGTTAATCTTTTCAAATCTATTTCTGAACAGTATCTTTCTCAGTTTGAGTGCATGCTTCAGAAATACAGTCCATGACATCAATCAGTAACTATCAGCATATCTTTAACAACCTGTCTTTTTTCTTTTTAAAGACACAATGACTGGACCCATGTTTTCCTCCTGCTGCCGAAGCATCGTGGGATGCAGGCTCTGTGTGGAGGAGTGGAGGATAACATCTCCCCAATGCCTTAAGTGCAGGGATCAGGAGCCAGTGTATACCCAGGTTGCTGGACTGTCTGCAGCACTGGATGCTTTAAGGGCCCTACCCTAAAGTGGACAGCAGTTCAGTCGTTTATTGTTAAGTTTATTCAGTGCTGGAATTGGGCCGGTACTCACCGGTACGCAGTACCGGCACTTCTGGTTCTGACCCATGGAGTACCGGCACTTCTTGCTCAGTACCGGCATGCTGGCGGTACTCCGGTACTCATGCACCGTGCCAGTACTCAACACTCTCCCGCCGTTCTTATTATACATCCATATATATATATATATACAGCCGCCCTGTACTCAGTAGATGCGTCATGAGGTGCCGAACGGACATTCTCATCGCTCTAACCGCTGGAGTTTCACAGCGGCTGTCAGCTGTTTACTCCTGTCATTCAAACAGAACGTGCTGGAGAGGGGGCGGGGCTTATATTCTCCATGTAAATACTGTGGTGGAAACGACTATGTCAAAATTAACCTATTTGACCGTGATTTAATAGTAATACACGTTTAAAAATAATAATAATAATAATGCCGAAGTAACAACATACTGAAAACTGTTAGTAAAACCATGTTTTAATGCTTTACAATTTACATACCTAGATGCACGTGTGTTGTGTTTATGCAGTGCAACTCCCACCCAGTGGGTGGCTATGTAGAGTGATAGAACAGAGCAGGCACGCCCCCGAGAGAAGGAAAGCAAGTCACGTCACAAATTAGCATTTCTAAAATGTTAGCGTGGATTAATAAAAGTACAAAAAGACAGCGGTTGTCGCCGGAAGAAACTTCAAATACAGAGAATGCTGTGCCTGTGTTGGAAATTGTGTCTGATGGGGAGCTTTCTTTGGTTGATCCTCCTGCTCCAAGTTCTAGTGCATTAGCATTAGCACTAGCTCCGCCGCCTCCTCCAGAGCCTCTAACGTTAGCTGCTGCTGGCGCAACTGCCACCACCAACACCGGGCAAAGCGATGCACCTGACTGCTGGACAACGGACCAGGTGCAATATTTTTGCAAGACCAATGCATGGCTCCTTCTTAAAGATAAGAAGCTAGGATGTCGGATATGCAGAGATGTCAAATCTTTGGGAATACACACTGGACAAGGACTGAAACTGTCAACTGAATGGGGTGAGTGTGCAGTGTCTCATTTCGGTGTTGACAAGGGCAAACAACAAGGTAGCCTGAGAAAAAAAATCAAAGAACATAAAGAATCACAAGCCCATGTAAAAGCTGCTGACATCCTTACATCTGCTTCACGTGAAACTATTCAACATCAAGTGCAGTCTATGCATAAATCTGAATTAGACACCACTATCAGAGTTTTTCGAACGGCATATAAAATTGGCAAACATAGCCGGCCATTCACAGACATGCCAATTGATTTGAATGTACAGAAACTGAATGGGCTGAACGTGGGCAGGGTTTTGCACTCCAATAAAACCTGTGGCGAAATCATCGACCACATAGCTCATGAGCTGAAGAAAAAAATGGCAAAAGACATTACAGAAAACCAAAGAAAACTCTGTGTTTTGGTCGATGAATCTACCACTATTAGTGGTAAAACGGTGCTTGTTGTGTGTCTACGCTCAGCATTAGCTGATACTGAGCCCGAAACGTTTTTTTGGGAGCTGATCGAGTTGGATGGAACAACGGCTGATGACATCACAAAGGCGTTAATGGAGTGTCTTGGAAGAGATTTTAACGAGGACTTTTTAGGTCAGTGTTTCGTTTCTTTTGCATGTGATGGGGCTTCAGTCATGCTAGGGAAGAGAACAGGCGTTGCTACCCAGTTGTGTAGTAAATTCCCAAGCCTGTTTGTGTGGCACTGCTCCAATCATCGTCTAGAGCTGGCAGTTGGGGATGTGGTCAAGGAGGTCTCAGGGCTCAATCATTTCCAGATCTTTTTTGACAAACTCTATTCCTTGTTCCATGCCTCCCCCAAAAATCAGAGGCAGTTAGCGCAGTGTGCGCAAGCAGTCGGACAGTGTCTCCTGGTGATAGGGCGTGTTTTGTCCATCCGCCGGGTGGCTTCAAGTGAAAGGAGCGTCAGAGCAGTCTGGGAAAACTACCGAGTGCTTCATGATCACTTCACAAATGCTGCAAACGACACGAGCAGGGATTCCAGAGACAGAGCAAAGTACAAGGGCCTGGATGATGTGCTCACATCTGCAACGTTTGTCAGCAATCTGGGACTGATGTACGATGCGCTCACAGAGCTCAGCGACCTCTCTCTGCAACTCCAAAAAAGAGAGATGACACTGCCTACAGCAGATAGGCTCTTAACTCGAGAAATACGAGTTTTTGAATCCATGGTCACCATGCCTGGCCCACACATGACTACAGTTCATACAGCTCTAGCTGAGAAGTCCTTCAAGGGTGTTGCCCTGCGTGAGAATGGCAGGCTTGTACAGATTCATGCAGGTCAGTTTTTCCGCAGTATGGTAGAGAATCTGAGACACAGAATGACTATCACAACCTCCTCTCATGTCAGCACAAGAGAAATCCCATTACATGGCCGGGAGGCCCGGGACAATCAGCTAATCCAGGACATGAAAGTTATCCATCCTGGAAGTTGGCCTGAAGAGGAGTTAGACGTACAGTATGGGGACGTAGAGGTGCTACGTTTGTGCGAAGTGCTGAAAGTGGACAGAAGAGAGACTGTTCAGGGCTTTCGCGAATACAAGGAAACCAGGGCATCCCGTACACCTGCTGCCATGGAGCCTCTACTGAAAGCAGTCCGAACCATCGCTGTCTCCACTAGTGAGTGTGAGCGGGCATTCAGCTGCATGAACGATATCCTTACTGCAAAAAGGAATGCTCTCTCTGTCAGCCGACTGTCCAGCCTGGTTTTCATTAAATGTAATGGACCATCACTAGGACAGTTCAATCCGGAACAGTATGTGAGGTCCTGGCTGGCAAAGGGAAGGAGAAGTGCTGATGAAAGAGCCTGTCCAGCTCCAGCCCCTGATACTGATGTCCCCAAGGCCTTCTGGAGCCTTTTCTAACAATGTGAAGTATATTGCAAAGCAGCTCACCCAGTGAGAAGACTTTTGGCATAATGTGCCGATTTGTACAGATCCTGGAGATAGAAGGACTTCAGACCAACCAGGGAGTTATCTGATCAGCTTGGTGTTCAATGTAACTCTTTACCATGGCTCAGACTTTGTTACTTGCAGTTACAGTTTCTCATTTTAGATTGTGCACATTTTGCATTTGTTTTTACATGTTCTTTGTTCATGCTCTTTATCATTTTTCTGAGTTGGAAAGTTAGATTGCATCATAGTTTACTTTATACATATTTGTATTCTTCAGTGGTGAAGTATATTGCAAAGCAGCTCAGCCATGTGAGAAGACTTTTGGCACTTTTTCGTTTTTCGTTTTCTGAGTTGGAAAGTTAGATTGCATTCAAAATGTACAGAAATACTTAATTTTGTTAAAGCTTTTTATAAAAAATGCTTCTGACCAGAGCTTTGTTTCCTTGTCATTAATGTTGAACACCACCAGAGGGGCTCTCACCTGAAAGGTCTCTGCTTCATGTGTCTTCAGCAGAAGATCTAGACTTTGATTGCTATATTTTCAGTTAATATTGACCTTACTGAGCTTTAGCCATATCCACTGCCTATCATAAAAAATGTTAAGTACAGTGAACCTTTCTAAAATATACAGTAGTAAAGAGACAAACCCACCAGCATTATAGTAGCCAAATTCTTGTTTGTGGGCTGTATATATAAAATTGACTTGAAAAAGTTGCTGATTTTAGAGTACTGGCACCTTTTTCATTCCAATTCAAGCACTGAGTTTATTGTTAAGTTTATTGTTAAGTAGTGTGTGTTCAAATTCCAGGTTCATCTGCAATGTTTAATAAATGGAAAATTGTTTGAATGTGTGTCCATGGTATGTTTAATTATGTTTCTAAACACAGGCAAATAGCTGCATACGTAAGGCAATACAATCAAACACTATTATTTTATCATCCACGCACCAACAGAACATTTGGAAATCAACCATTAATCAGAGGTTGTCGAAGTACTCAGGTCTTGTACTTGAGTAAAAGTAGAAGTACTCAGATCTTGAGTAAAAGTAGAAGTACTCAGATCTTGTACTTGAGTAAAAGTAGAAGTACTCAGATCTTGTACTTGAATAAAAGTAGAAGTACTCAGGTCTTGTACTTGAGTAAAAGTAGAAGTACTCAGATCTTGTTCTTGAGTAAAAGTAGAAGTACTCAGATCTTGTACTTGAGTAAAAGTAGAAGTACTCAGATCTTGTACTTGAGTAAAAGTAGAAGTACTCAGATCTTGTACTTGAGTAAAAGTAGAAGTACTCAGGTCTTGTAAAAGTGGAAGTACTCAGATCTTGTACTTTAGTCAAAGTAGAAGTACCAGAGTGTAGGAATACTCTGTTACAGTAAAAGTCCTACATTCAAAATGTAGAAAAGTATTCTCATCAAAATATAGTGAAAGTAGCGACAGTAAAAGTAGTCATTGTGCAGATTAGTCCATTTCAGAACAATACATATGATATGTTTTATAATGATTGATCATGAAAGTGTTCTCAAAGCTGGTAAAGGTGCAGCTAGTTTGAATGACTTTGTATACTGCAGGGTAGCTTGTGAATTTACTCCAGGTGGAACTAAAGTCTGATTTAAGTGTTGATTACATTTCACATAATTAATCCAAATCTGTAAAGTTACTAAAGGTTTTAAATACATGTAGTGGAGTAAAAGTGGCTCCGCTTTAAACTCTAAAATATAGTTACAGAAAGACAGACATCGAGATAGAAAGACATCGAGACAGACATATACATAGAAAGACAGACATACGGACAGACTGTCTTCTGTACTTGTATGTATGAATATAATAATATACGTATATTTGTAACGCAGTCTAAAGGCAAAGACGTAGAACCTTTATTTTGAAGAGTACAGCGCAAGCATAAGGCACACTAGCCAATCAGAAGCAAGGAGGCGCTGGAGACACACCCACTTATGGAAACGAAACATTGAGTGGTATACTTGTTTTAACAGTAAGAACAGAAAAATGAAAAAACGAGCTGAATCTCCGGTTTTTCATTTTGGGGCAAAATTGAAAAACAAAAAAACGACCCGTTTCTGCTTTTTTTTTTGTTTCAATTAGAACGAAAAAACAAACGGTTAAAACGTACCTTCGTCGCGATGCTTCATATGTTATCTATTTGGAATTTAGATACACAATATATTGTATGTAGTGACTATTTACCTTAATCTATACTTAAGCCACTGTGTTGCTTTTAAAACCCTGATAATGTCCCTGGTCAATATTAACCCAACAGTACCAATGATCCAAGCAGTGATACAATACAACAATTTGCATGGCACATTATTAATATACTAGGTTATTGATGCATACTTATGAGATACAATTAATAAAAGTAACTACATGAAGTCATTGACAATGTTGAGAAAAGGTAACAAACCAGATTCTCTGAGGAGAGAAGTAGCAATGTCCAGCCTCAGCTCCTCCACTGCCTTCTGGGAGGTTTCAAACTCAATTGCCTCCCCCAGTAAAATCTTCTCTGCAAACTGAAGAGAACCTTGATTAGTATATGGACTGCATTGTCTATGATTTTACCCTCAAATGGAATACAGACAAATGACCCAACAGATTTAAAGAATGACATGTTGTATATGTGTAGTTTGACACAATTCAATACATCTTTGATCAAGATGTATAAAAGCAAGTCAAGATATTCAGTCTAATTGCTACTGAATTTGAGTTTGAGAGTAATGTTTGGGTAAATGCATTTCACACTCACTTTTAAGGCCAGGACACCACAGGATGTGCTGTCTTGTTGGTGATTATGGGGGAGGGTGCTGCATGTCCACCTTGACACCTTGCAGCCTTTCATCCTCATAAAGGCTCTACAGTATGTAGATAGTACATGTGTCAAGATGCAGCACATCATTGTCAAAAAACTCATACAACACCGGAACTAGTACACTGTACCTTGTAGATTGTAGGCACACCCTCATTTTGCCTTTCCCTTCTCCAAGTGGATCCAAGAAGAGGGTTTTCTTCTCATGGGGGTACATTACCTTTTATTATTCACATGGAAACACAACATGCATTAGGCAGGAACCATACATTACGCAGGTACGATGTAGGGTATTGTTTAGATGTTATCAATAATAAGTGACAGCATGTATGTGTGGCCCGGTTATCTTGCAAATCACTAATTATATATGGTGTATACAGCACTATAGATACAGATTGGAGCTTAAAATATGCTCCTATTCTCACCACCAACATCCAGTGATGGTTCTCGTTCACAATTCCCACGATGACTGTGTGTGCCATTGGATCAACCTGAGAGTAGTTGCAAAAGTATTACATTCCTGTTGAAAAATGCACATTTGCAACATTTACAAATGCAAAGTCATTCCAATCATGTACATACCCGGATTCTTCCAAATTTGTGTTTCCAGATGGCGGTCATAGCGTAACTGTCAATAACAGCTGCTTGACCGTCATTGCGCTGGTTGAATTTTCTTACAATGAGTGTAAGGTAGGCATTGATCACCTTTGAGAAAAATGATCACAATGTATTAAAAAGAGGCATCTTTACTGTAATACTATCAACTACATTGTTGTAACGTCACTGAATTTCCTTTTATGATTTAAGTCAATAAAACTGTAATACAATGTTTTGTGACTTTCATTAAAACAAATATTGCCCATTAGGGAACGGAATTATATAAAATATAAAAATATAAATTATAATGTGACAAAGCAATACCTCACTCTCCAGCTCCTTGTTTGGACCAGTGTTTGTGATGCCATGTTTGTATGGCACTATTTTTGAAAGGAGGACGTGTACATCCTTCCCAGCCCATGCCTCCTGCACATCTGAAAAAAATACATTAATGCACCAACCATGTTCTATTTCGTATATGGCTTCGCCCTCTAAGGCTATCGCTATTGGGTTATCCCTCTGCGCCCCCGCGCAGCACTGAAACACTTGTAGTCCACGCCCACCTGCCAGGTGGGCCCCACCCTCGGGCCTCCTTCCGGTATAAATAGGAAGGGTGCCCGGCAATCTGCTCACTCTTTTCTTCAGCAACCAGCAGTACTGAAGCACGAGAAAAGCAAAGTCATGAGCAATAAGGAGTGTGTCCGTATGTGTCCTTCGTGCAATACGGGGTACATTATGAGCTACGATTTGCACCCGATATGCGCAGCCTGTCTGGGGCCAGAGCACACGGACGCGGCTCTCAGCCAGCAGGTCGCATGTCCTCACTGTGTGCGTCTCCCATCATCCGACAGGAAGCGAAGGGCGGACGCTCTAGCTGCTGCGGGTGAGGAGGACATCTGGCTCATCCAGAACAGAGGCAACAGCCTGTTTCTGGAGGCGAGTGGGGGGCAGGAGTCGGACGACTTAACAGTACAATCTGGCCACTGTTAAGGCTTGCAGGGAGGAGCAGAGCAAGACAGGAGTTTCAAGCACAATAACAACATGTATTGAATATTACTGGGGGTCTGGGCCAGGGAAGCTAGACGGAGTCCAAGGGAGAGGGGAACGGAGGTCTGACCAGGTTGGAGAGTGCAGGGAGAAGAGCCAGGAGGAGCGGGACAGCGTCCAACGTTGGAGGTGATCTGGAGACAGGAGCTAGGAGTCAGGCTGGCTTGAAGCTGCAGGCACAGGAGAAAACAGGTCAAACAGGGAATCGCAATCGAAGACTTTCCAAAGCTAGAGACTGACTGTGGGTACAGAGTCTACGATCTGGCGAAGTGGAGGAGTCAGGGCCGGAGTCTTATGCCAGAGGTGATTGGATTGTGGACACACACACACAGGCCGTTTCCCAATCGCGAGTACACATGCTGCAGAGCCACTATTTCAAGTATACTACGTCATCGAGTGGCGCCGAATGCTGGGCATTTAACATGCATTTAAACAGTCCTTCGGCGCCACTCGATGACGTAGTATACTTGAAATAGTAGCTCTGCAGCAGGTTTACTCGACATTGAGAAACGGCCACTGACTAGGCAGAGGTGGAGGCCAGCAACAAAGTGCAGTGGAAACAGACAGTGAATAAATCCTGACGTAACATGAAGCATGTGACTTAAACAGCTGAGGAGGATGTAACCTTCCTCACACTAATACATGAAACAAATGTCTTCCAAGTCCATCGAGATTTCCACATTCTTCTCCCAACCTTTGAGGTTTGACTGGTGTTTTTGTAATGCTTTAATGGCATCGGTTCACAAGAGCAGCTGAAGAAATCCTACAGTCCAGTAGGGCTGTGCATCTTCACTGGTCTCACGATTCGATTCGATTATCCTGTCAACGATTCGATTCAATTCGATATCCCGATGCATCACGATTCATACCAATGCGTTGCATCCTCAATTTTCTATATTGCACATGGCTTATTTTTCATCAATGCATACATGCAGTAAATACATATGAACTCTCTTTTTATTATTTAGAAAGTGCTTCAGAAATCAATAACATAAATGTCTTGACATTAATTTATAAACCAAAATAAATGAATTGTATAGGTCTAGCCTCCCTATATCTGTGTGTGAAGTTGTTCCATCCTCAAAAACAAAAAAAGAATGCTTCTGCAGTCTAGCTGTAGCTTCTAGCAACGGCCTTCTGTTAAGGCCCTGTCACACTGTCCCGAAATGACACCCGATGGACACACGAATATGGAATTGTGAATTTCGCACGAAGATGGCCCCGAACCACACACGAAGGCAACATTTACATTACATTTAAGACATAAAACTGCAATGAAAGTACCAAAAACAATTATGTTACAGTACTATGATACTGTACTGATATCTTCAGACTTTGTTCTTTACTTTATCCGTCGTTATATGTAGAAAATATTACGTTTTCTCCGTAATGTTGTTTCCATAACAACAACAACTTCCTGTCAACTGTCCTTCAAAATAATATATTATATCCTTTTTAGTTTCACAGAACACAAATTGGGTTATTTACATAATATATTTACATGATTTTGTTGTGCAATAAAACAACCCGATGGACACACGATAAAGGAAATGTTCAAATTCGGCTGTGATCGTAGCAACATCGGGCCATTCGTGAGGGCATCTTAAGCCATCGTATGACCGCCGGTGGAGTTTCTCAGGCTCCGGCAGCAACTTCGTGAGCGGTGGCAAAATCTTTGGCATGCCAAAAAATTGCCGAAGGACCTTGAGAAGGTTCATTTTCGTGTTGAATTCGTGTGTCAATTGTGCCCTTCGTAAGGCCATCGTGAGGGCATCATGTTATCATCGGTGCCATCGGGCATTCGCCCCGATCAGAGTGAGGGTGAATGCACCGATGATAACACGAAGATGACACAATTTGACAAGATGCCCTCACGAGTGCCTTACGAAGTTGCCGCTCACGAAGTTGCTGCCGGAGCCTGAGAAACTCCACCGGCGGTCATACGATGGCTTAAGATGCCCTCACGAATGGCCCGATGTTGCTACGATCACAGCCGAATTTGAACATTTCCTTTATCGTGTGTCCATCGGGTGTCAATTTCGGGACAGTGTGACAGGGCCTTTAAAGAAAGGACACTGAATGTCCTGAATGTGGCATCACACACAGGACTTGAGTCTGAACACAGCAGACAACAGGAGTATTTACAACAGCATATAACAACTAAAATACTGCATGTGGGTGCACACTTACATTCTCTGTCTTACTGTTGCATAAATCCCATGAATGTATGAGATTAAGCAGCCTGCGAGATGGAGTTCATGACTTTATGAGCTGTTCATGAGCACTCATGAAACATTCATGAACAACTCATTATATGTTCACTTGTCATGTTCATGAACCAAAATTCTTAAAATGCTCATGAACCATTTTAAAGAGCAGTTCATGAAATTTTTATGAACATTGTTCATTCATATAAAGTTCCTGTTTTGCTCATGACAGACTTTTATGAGCAATTTATGAACTTTTCATGATCCAGCCAATCACAAAATTATAATTAAAACCCCAAAAAGTTTGCATGAGCATTTCATGAACTGTGGATGATTGTGAGAAGTTCAGAATATTTTTAAATATTCATGAGCATTTTATGAACTTTTGATGATCAGTGTGATGATTTTAAAGACCTCTTGAATATTCATCTACTATTTGAACATTTCTTTATTTTTTAAAACTTTTAATCTTAAAACAAAACAATAGTGCATTTGAAACTGAACATTATCTGTATTTATTTTGGTGACATTCATATCATTTTATGGTTTATCTGTACTGTTTGAGAAGCAGTACGAGTAAGTAGTGCCAAGGTGGAACCTTTGGCAGGTGAGCGGTGACATCTGGGTTATTTTAGGGGGGACACTTCCGCCCCCATCCTCAGTCAGAAGCAATCCAGACGATCAACCGGATCCTGTGTATAATTATTGCTGCTGCACTTTTCTGTTTTCTACAGGTCAGTACATGATGAAAATGATCGATGTTAACTTGTGTGAATTAGATATGATGTTGGAGATGTTTAGGAGAGTGTGTCAGAAAGTCTTGAGCATGTTTGACATAGTAACGGTATTTTAAAAATACTAAACTGTCGGCAACAATAGATGCCATTTTCGCGGGCTTCAGCCGCGCCTGGGTAAATGTGACCTGAGCGAAGGCTCGCAGGCAGGTTAGCTGCTGCGCACGGGTAATATGTTTTGTTTACCTGAGTGTAGTCTTGCAGGCACAGTGCCTTGTTTTTTGTTTATTAACATTGACAGTGTATTTTTGTGATCTCCATAATATGTTATATTTGGTAAAGATAGATATATTGATAGAAAGTATTATTTGATAGCGTTATGTGTTTATATTGACTATGTTGAATTTCTCCTTGAGATACAGTAATTGACTGTGACAGACGGATAACTTAAATGGAGAAATGTGATGTTTGTAAAGTACAGCTATTTGAATGTAACTGTGTACTTTGAATTTTGAATAAGAAGCAATCCAGACGATCAACCGGATCCTGTGTATAATTATTGCTGCTGCACTTTTCTGTTTTCTACAGAAATCATTTATTGTTGCTGTGGTACCCAAGCTTTTGGGACCCGTAACAAAAAAATGTGTGCAGCTGAGTGTCAAGAACTGTGCTTCAAATAGTGATAGGATTAATTGTAGTGCTCCACCTGTATACATGTATGTTTGTATGTTTGTTAATTTGAATAAAGTTCCATTGTGATTGACATAATTGTTGTTTTCTATGGTTGCCAATTGACCCACAGTCAATGGTTCATGAACAGTTCATTGCCAGCCATTGAATTATATTCAGTGACTGGGTATGAACTGTTCATGAAGTTGTTATGAACAGTTCTTGATATGTTCATGAACCATGGTTAATTCATGAACAATTCTTGAAATGTTCTTGGTTGAATACTGAATATCCCTACACACTCACTGAAAACTCCATTTCATGAATTGTTCATGAACCTGCCTAAAACCATATTCCATGAATTGTTCATGAACCATTCCAGAACAGGAGTTTCATGAGTAGTTCATGAACTGCCCTAGTGCCATTTAATGTTCATGGAACTTTCATGAACAGTTCATCAACTTTGTTATGAGCTGTTTATGAGCTGTTTATGAGCTGTTCATGAATATGGTTCACTAATATTCCATGAACTTTTCATGACAAGTTCATGAACAGTTCACTATCATCTCACCGGGGCGTCCTCCTACAAAAAACGACCATATAGGTCGATTGTTCAGCAGCTAAATACGACCCAGAGTCACGTTTTAAAGTGTAGCACCTCTAGTGGTCGTGTAAGCAACAACATGCTCCTGTCGATTGCAAACGCTCTGGAGGGTCGTTTATTCACAAATTACCCTCTGGAAAATCCTAAATTGTGGAATAGTTTGGCCATTAAAATGCTTTTTTATTAGATTTCTAGCGAGAAGTGTATATTGTACTTTTATAATCTACGTCCAGTGGATGTGTAGGATCTACAGTTTGATAGATATACGAAGATAATTTGAGGTCTCGCCAGGAGAACGTGTACTGTATATGGGGCAGCTTCCATGTAAAGTTAGCATGGGTGAAAACAGTATTTCCGGTCTCAAAGTTTTCATAATAAAACCGGAAGTATTCCCCACACTATCAAATGATCTCCATTACTCATCCACTTAAAAACATCAGTTTATCCTTGTTAATTACACAATATTGATGGGTTTAAATTGTGTACAATGCTTTTGTGTTTTTAACCTTCGATTCGGAGAAACAAATTGTTTTTTCCGAGTTTAGACACTACAGAAATTCCGAAGACACTACACTACCCAGAATCCCCAGCTATCGTTTGGGACTACAACATCCGCCTTGCTTTACAAACCCCGTGATTAGCCCTCAAGCTCGGTGATTGGATGTTGGAGTGGCAGTGCGACAAGGTTACGCCGAATGTCAAACAGCTCTTTGAAATGGAATGGAACCACGCCAGACTATCCAAAACTGGACTTGGACGGGTCCAGCCCAGCCCTCCCCCACAGAATTACACATGCTGGCTATTGTGTGTTTCGCAATATGTTCTATGGCACGTCTCTGCTGGGAATTGTAGTTTTATAAGACGTTTTCGTATTTCCCACAATTAGAAGTTGCCAGTATTAAACTGTATACATCCCTGGAGGTTTAGGGGATACGAAACACATTGGTGTTATCAAATTTAAAACATATAATTAATACATGGGTGAAAATTGCTTGTGCCCATAATGGGCAGCATTAATATACCCACATGACAGCTAAGGTCAGAAGAGCTTTATTTAACAGCTGGTCTTATATCTGTGACCCCTCCTGTTGTTAATTGATAAGCCTGAAACATGCACTTGTCAAGGTTCAGATGCACATTTAGCAAATATGGCAGTAGCCATCGATCATCTTAAGATAAGATACTTTATTGATCCCAATTTGGGAAATGTTTTTGTTACAGCAGCATGTACTACTTTGTTCTACTCCACTACAATTCAGAGGTCAACCTGGTATTTTTACTCTACTACATTTATTTTTGTTACTTTGCAGATTCTGATTAATGATGTGAAATATAAACAACCCTTAAATCAGACTTTCGTTACACCTGAGTAAAATTCAGCCTTATCAGTTTGTCTGTTTTGCACATCCTCCTGTTAATATCTTTGGACGTCCTGCACTAAACTGTTTTATTGTAGAGATCACTACAGTATCTTCTTGATATTTTCTATTCTATATTTCTATCATTGACCCCTATTTTGTATGTAGGCTAAAAATACAGTTTCAGTCTCTCAATGTGAAGCTTATGCATTGTACCATAAACTTGTATAGACCTGTAACAGTCAACTGCATGAGGAGTTGGAAAGGTAGTTCATAAAATCAGTAATATCTTTAAAAACTACAAAAAAATCCCTTTCTATCAGCTGTGCACCGTTATGGTGTAAATACAGACTATCTACATATTGGATCAAATATAAAAGTCAGCCGAATTAGTGTTGATACTGCAAGGAGACGTATTGTGTGAAAATAAATGGAAGATGTTGTTTAATTGTTGATATTTTATGGTCCACGTCACGTATTCAGTTTTGGCGGCATCTCTTCCAGTTTGTCAAAAGGTCTTCTGATCAGGGCTCTATAAATACATATCTACGGCAGATATGTAATATTTAATGCAGCCGAACCGTGTATTACAATGCCGTTATGTGATGACTTTCAAAGAGAAAAGCAAGAACACTCGGAATAAAGTATTATTATTATTTTTTTAAATGTTTTCCGATTTCATATCACATAAACACCATATCCCGACGTGCATTGCGGCGTGATTATAGCCTATCAAAACCTCTGAAAAAAGAAATGTGTCTCTCAGAATCGAAAGAGAAAACCCTATGGGAAAAACACAAAAGCATTGTACACAATTTAAACCAATTAATGTCGTATAATTAACTAGGATAAACTGATGTTTTTTAGTGGATGAGTACTGCAGATATCACTGTTAAATCATTTGATCATTGGTTTTATTATGAAAACGTCGAGACCGGAAATACTGTTTTCAACCCGTAACTTTACATGGAAGCTTGCCGCATATACACGTTCTCCTGACGAAACCTCAAATCATCTTCGTAATATCTATCAAACTATAGATCCTACATAACGACTGGACGTGGATTCTAAAAGTACAATATATACTTCTCGCTAGAAATCTAATCATAAAGCGTTTTAATGGCCAAACTATCCTACAATTTAGGATTTTACAGAGAGGGTTATTTGTGAATAAACGACCATCTGTAACGTTTGCATTCAACGGGAGCACTAGAGGCCGACAACTTTAAAACGTAATTATAGGTCGTATTAAGCGCTTGAACAAACGACATATTTGGTCGTAATAAGGGCTTAAACAATCGACCCATTTGGTCGTATGAGTTGGAGGACTTGTTGAGATTAAGTTAGCTTCATTATATCTCAGTGATTAAGTGAATAATAAAGTTTCTATCGGGTCACTATCAGCCTGTCACTCATTATTTTCAGGAGGGGGCGGGGTTTGGAGGAACGGAGAGGAGACGGTGATCGCGGAAGCTTTTTTTTCCTCGGTCTGAAAATTGCTAGAGGACATTCATACTTTGCAATCCAAGACTTAATTAAATCCACCAAAAACCTGACATGATTGTAACGCGATTATTTTCGAAAAACATAAATCCCTGTGTCTCTGAGCCGCAGCGACACGGAGTGATTCAGAGCGGGTCCTTCAGGCTGTTGGTTCTGGACTGGTGTTCTTGTGTTGGTGGATAAAGCAGACTGCTCCGTGTTTGGTGATGCTGTGCCGCTGTGCCGCTGTCACGTCTGTTCCCTGATCTCTGCGTCACCGACCGATTTGATATTAAAGTGACAGAAAAAAAAAACGTTATAGTAAAGCCGCGGCCGGAAAATCAGGAAGCAACATTACTACGCTATAACCGATTATCTTCCGTCACTGCATCGAGACCGAATCGTCCACGTCCGCATCGCAATGCATCGTAGAAACGATTATTTTCAACACCCCTACAGTCCAGCATGTATCTTGTTCTTCAGTCCAAGGACTTTTGGGGAAAGCCTTTCACCATCCATTTGCAAGAGCACTTTCTGAATGAATTCATAGTAGTACCTTAGCTCTTTGGGGTAAGCCATGTTCAGTGTATAGATGACTCCCAGCATGATGGCACAAGCTCGGGATACAGATCCAATGTTGTCCAGAATAATTAGTCCTTCAACAAAAATCCCAACGTCGTCATAATGTCCAGGTTCTCCACCCTCCTTGTTGATGACATATATGCCCATGGTAGATTTCTGCAGGTCTCTGGTGACGTCATCTCCTTCGATGTCCTGTATATTTAAAGAAAAAACATGTATTTATTCAATATATGTAATTTCAATGACGTACTTTATCGTATACATTTTTTGTAATATTGCTCACATACCTATTAATCCCTTAAAACAAAGCTTGTCATATTGTATATATTTCTGAATCAAACTAAATATGTGTGAGGTGTTTTTAAAGATGTACGTAGGAACCAATAAGCTTGGTGCTGAGTGTCAGGAGTCAGAGAGGATTGACAGATGGACTAAGACATTGTTGATTATGGTCTTTCCATTGGACAATAAGAAAAACTATGAATAAAGCCAACCTCATCGTATAAAGAACCAAGCTGATGGTTTGAAATGCTTTAGTCTGTTGTTGAATATCAACATACATACATATAAATATTCTCAACCTTCATGCTCCTTATAAGGTAAAACATAATGATCTAAAATGGATGCCTGACACTAGGATCATAAAACACTACATGTGACTGGCAAATGCAATTACAATGACTCAACATATACTCCCGAATGAGATGTCCATCATCCTCACCAAGGTGGATGCAAAGTGCCTTGAGGATTGCTTCCCTTTTAAGGTTAACATCACTTGTTGCCTGTGTAAAAAAATTGCAATTATTAAAATATTTCTAAATACATCAATAATAACAAAATTGTCTATAAATTGTAGAAGATTTACAACCTGTAGTAACCTAAATATACAATATAATATATACAATGACTTCATTATACATGTAAATGGATGCCCTAACTTAAGTATGTTAAAGAATTGTGACTTACTGTAAATGTATTACAATGTCAGAGGTCTGAATGTGTTAGGGCGATAGCACTGTTTACAAATTCTACTCATCCAGGGGCTTTTCACCAAGACCAATGCTCCGTTCTTCACAGTTCACACCTGGAATCTGCCTAGTACAACCACAGTCTGATCTGTTGGCAATTGAGGATTAAGTGACTTGCTCAAGGCAGGTTCTGCTTTTTCACTTTCCCCACCTGGGGATTGCATTTGCACCTTTCCAGTCACAAGCCTGCTTCTCTACCCAGTATGCCACTATTGCCTTATTAAGATCAGATTTCCTTAGAAATGTGTCTTGCATTCTTGAACCTGGCAAGTAATCCAGGCTGTTGTGAGGCAAATGGGGCTCTATACGGTACTAGACAGGTACATTTCATAAAATTGCTCCATAGAGTATATGACAATTTGTATAAAACAGTATACACACATTTACCTTTTGCAAGATCGCCAGATGTTTGGCTAGTTTCTGGCCAACAACTCCTCCCTTCTTCTGGAAGACAGATGTCAGCTGAGGTAGATGGCTGTCCAACTGCGCCATGAAGGCTGTTTCAAGTGGGATAGTTGTTATGCGCTGGAATTCAGCGTGTATCTGTTATGCAAAAACAAAACGACAAAAGACAAAGAGCACATTCAGCCATTGGTGTAATGATATTTTGTATCTACTATATATTTAAAGGATAGATTCTAATGTTGACCTCATTAACCAAGTCCTTGATAAGACGTGTATTGGTGCACAGTGTGTTCTAACGAAAGTATTTATATTAATCTAAGGTAATTGCAAGGATTCAAAACTAGACTTGTAAGCTGTATGGTTGTTTAAACCTTGCTAATACTTTAATTGACAATGGGTCAAATGTTGAGGTATAAAGTGAAAACCCCAATTCCAGCAGCAGCTGTTTTCTTCAGACAATCAAACTGACAGTTAGAGAATAGCTGGTGAAGAAAGCGGAACATTGAGCAGCTAAAGAGCCAAATACTTTACTAAGGAGTTGGTGGAGAGCATAAACAGAGCTAAAAGATGTGAATATTGGACTTATCAGATGGACAGAAACACCATTTCAAATGTATGATCATGTTGCTCTGTATCAGCTCGATGTGTACAGCAAATAGGCATTTCACCATTCACCATGTGAAATATATAACTTACCTCATCAATATGGAGTATTGTGAGTAAGGTTCTGTTCCCCATCACACCAACATCAGATAGCAAAACCTGCAATAAAAATAAAGATGAGCAGAAATTAAAAATAATAATGGTAAATGAAAAAAGGTAATTGATTGCCAATAGGGGTGTAACGGTTCACAGAAGTCACGGTTCGGTTCGTACCTCGGTTTGGAGGTCACGGTTCGGTACGGTTCGGTACAACAAGAAAAAGCAAAAAAAAGTCCCAAATGCATAATTCCAGGTTTGTTATTATTTATGTTTGAACAGTGGTGCAAGTTTCAGTTTAAAAATAAAGAACTCTGACATTTTGAATAATTAACTGTATTAAACAGTTAAAAACAAACCATACACAGTACACTCATATGGCCATATTATCTATAATGGCTGATATCAAACAAAAAGGTTTCATCAAGCTGTAAAACTAAAAAGAATGTCTTGAAAATATGACATCATAAATAATAAGAAAGTGTTTCAAGAGCGCCAAGTCGTTGAAAAACATATGCCAAAAGCTTCCGTTATTTATTTTGGTCTCTCGGCCCTCATGTTTATTGGCTTCTTAAAAACAGCAGGGAAAAGCTGTTGAACTGCTGTTGTCTTTTGCCGGGCTCCGGTGATTGGCAAATCTGGGTGATGCCTTCTGATATGATTTAGCATGTTTGGCGTGTGTTATCATTAGCATACCGCACCACTGTAGAACAACGCCGACACACCGTCCTCGTCCGATCCACCACTCGCACACTTAATCGTTATTGTAGTCCACAGGGAACCCGAAATGTTCCCACACAGCTGATTTAAAAAAAACAGGTGGGTTCTAGCTCCTGTGTGTTATCTGAAATCGCCATACTAACTTTTCTTCTTCTTGTATTTTGTTCGTTTTGTTGTTGTGTTTCTTCTTGTTCTTCATTTGTTGTTTAAGGGCGGCTGGCAAACAGCTTTTAGGTGCAATACCGCCCCCTGGATTATATATAGTGTAGTGGATACAGCCCTGAATGACAGACTTTTTTCCCACTCGTAAAAAAAAGGCGTATTCGTCGTGTGACTGTGTGTGCCGAACCGTGACGTTTAACCACACCTAGGAGCGCTTAGTTCTCTCTCCACCATGTGTGTGTGTTGCATGCATGTAGCAGCCGCGTGTGTATAAACTGCCCCGCCCCCTCGCACACAGACGGGGAGAGAGAGATCTCTCCTCTGGATTGGAAAGATTGAAAATACATCTACGCATTTTGTCTTATTGCATATTATAAACGGTGTTGGCGAAACTAAGACTGCAATATAATGTTAAATGTCTCAAGTACCGATAAACAGACCGTCCTGCTAGAGAGGTGGTACTTTCCTGGGGAGAAAAGGTTAGTGGGTGTGTCGGCAACACTAACTATTTTTGACTAACTTATGGCAACACAAAATAATACATGGGAGTGGTGGAGTGATGAGGAGGTGTCGGCGCTTCTGGCGATTTACTCGGAAGGCTTCAGTAGAAGCCAGTCCCCAACTCCGGGGACTTCCGGTGGCAGTATACGCCGTGAAGTTGTTTGCGGTGTAGTGGGGCCGACACAACCACAAACCATTTCCTCCTCAGGAAAGTAATAACTCGCTAGCAGGGACTATCTGGGGGTGAAAATAAAGTTCGGGGGGAAAAGTACTCGTGTGAAACGTTATATGAACGTTAGCCGCGGTAACATTAACCCCTTGCCGCCAGAGAGTAACGTTACCAAAACCAATGTGATTTCACATGCTTAGTTGTGTCCTAATATTACCACAGTGATAAGAACAAGTTAAACAAAAAAACATACTTACAGCCGGTCAGGAACACAGTAGGCTAGGATTGGCCAGTATACAAGCCAGGTGAAGCTACAAAAAAAAAAGCATAGTAACAGGCAGTATTCAACTTGTATTAGCCACAAACTAATAATAAAGTCTAACAAGACAAAGATTGAATTTATCACGTATTTAATTTGAGAGCAGTATCAAGTTATCTTATAATGTTAATGATACATGTTACACTTCAATTAGGTTACTTAAACATTACTTCACAACTAAGCTAGGTTAACAGTAGGCTAACAGTTAGCTAGCTGCTGTAGGCCTACGTTTGCTAATGTTAATCTATCAAAACACACAGTCAATAGCGTTAATGTTAGCTATTAATCTACCTGTTTAAGTATAATATAATACACCCAAGGCTATGAAAGAGCTACTTACTTAAAACGGAGAGCCGTGGAGAACGTTCACCTCACGACAGAGGTATGCAGGCAGTCAGGTGATGGTCCTTCCGAATGGAAAATGGAGGGAAAAGTGGCGGGCTGCTTGTGTATGTACATGCGCAGACAGGACAGTATATGTGGTAATTAAATTGTACATATTTTTTTCTAATTACTTTTAAATAAATGAAATGAGCTTGTTTTAAACAGTGACAATATATGTTAAGATTAATTAAAAAAGATAAGAAGGATGCAATAACACATTCAAATCTATTAAAAAAGGCTAGATTAAAACATGTAACATCTAAAAGGGGTCAATATCAGTTTTTTTTTGTGTGTGTGTGTGTGTGTGTGTGTGTGTGTGTGTGTGTGTGTGTGTGTGTGTGTGTGTGTGTGTGTGTGTGTGTGTGTGTGTGTGTGTGTGTGTGTGTGTGTGTGTGTGTGTGTGTGTGTGTGTGTGGCGCAAATTCCAACAGGAATCATTTGGGGGGGCTCTTGGGAAAAAAGGTTGGGAAACCCTGCCATGGAGAATGTCCTTGATTTCCTCAAGGTTTTTAACGCCCTGGGAAACCTTTTCCTCAGCCACATAATCCTCAACATGTTTTGATATTCCTTCAGTAAATGTTTTCAACATTAACTTGATATACCTTAAGTTATATTGAGACGTGTTTACCAACCATGAAGTGTTCTGGCACCTCGGTTGGATACCGAGCCTCTCGGCCAAACATCAAAAAGTATGGTGAGAACTTAGTTGTCATCTTCTTTTTTGTTCTCAAGCCAAACATGACTGCATATAGGTACTCATCCCAGTCTTCTGGTTTGTCTGCCACCAGCTTCCTGAGAGCTCAAAAAAACAAACAGAATTTGTACTGATAATAGTACTGATAATAGGCATTATATATACTGTGTATATATATATATATATATATATATATATGGTCCGACTGGCATTTGCCTTACCTTTGTATGGTGCCGTTCATCCTCTCTACCAGCCCATTGGTTTGAGGGTGATAGGGTGAACAGAGACTTCTCTGAATCCCCATATTGGCACATACATTCTTGTTGATCTGTAAATATAAAGAACATTGTATAACGTTTTATATAGATGAAAACACAACTACAATATTTTTGCAAAAAATGTTTAAACCATTTTCAAAATTACCGCATTGACAAACTCTCTTCCTTGGTCAGTCAGGATTCTTTTTGGCACCTCAAACTGATGGAAAAACTTCACAATGCATTCTGTCACCTCAGTTGCTGTTTTGGTTTTCAGAGGATATGCTTGCGGCCATTTGGTGAGGTAGTCTACCATAACGCAAATGTATACATTCCCACTATTGGTAGTTTTTAACCTGCCAATTAAGTCCATGCCAATGAGCTCAAATGGATGTTCAACCTTGAAAAAAAGGACAAATAATAATTATACATTTTATTCTGGATATAATGTTTGTGAGCATGTTGTGTAGGGAAAATAAGTATGCTTAAATCAATCAGAGCTTTCTTCCTTTTTACATTATCTGCTGAGATGGATGTGATATATGTGAGGTAAATATGTTTTGTGATACAACAACAGACATTGATTTTGAGAATGTGGTAAAAACTATTGCCTTTATTGGGGTATATTCCACCTCCTGTTTTATAGGATGAGCAGCTGCCTGGCACACTGCACATTATGACACCTGTTCAAAACACATACACAGGTTAACTATCTGAATAACTTTTTCTGTCAGTTCACACAGGACCAGACCAAATAAAACAGGTTCTTACATTTCTGTAATTTAAGGAAATAATACATAAACTTAAATGCAAGTAGGCAGGGTATTTAACTTTATCTGCGATAAGCTGAAGCTATAAAAAGTGAACAGCTTGCTTATCAGCAGTTGCAGTGCTTACCCATTTATGTATGTCCGAAGACATCCCAGGCCAAAATAATCTTTTCGAGGTGGCGTCTCTGGTCCTGTGTTGGCCTGTATGAGCACCTGTGGCGCTATCGTGGAAATCTAGAAAGATCGCGTTTGTCTCCTCCGCGCCTCTGACCACTTTGGTCTTGGTGGCCTTACCAGGACCCTTCATGTAATACAGGGCTCCATCTTTAACATAAATTGTAATATTCGTTGACATCAAATAAATGACAGTTATACAATCCGCATATTGACTTACAAAAGTTTGTGGGGTGTCTATGAATAGGCTACTTAAACAATCAATCAAAAACTCACCATCCAGGACATAAGTAGAAGCCTTTCTTCTTATTTCCTTTTTACATGTCTTTGTGCTGTCTAGCGGATACTGGCCTTTACGCGCTTGTAATCGACAATGGTTTGGTACACATTGTTATCCATTTTACCAGAGCAAGCTTCACGGTGTAACTGTCGGCTGTACCGCAAATTGGTTTTCGCGCCGTCACTAATGACTGTGGGACGCGGGAACGAGTGGGGTGCGCGTGTGCAAGTTGCTTGTGTTGGTAATGCGCAAAATTAATCCAGTAGACAGACATGTGCGCATATATAAGATAATTATTACATTACATGTCATTTGTTAGACGCTTTTATCCAAAGCGACTTACATACATTCCAACCCAGTCTCACGGTATTTCGTGTTCACCAACACGATTTTTAATCTATTGATTCGTGTTCACCAACACGATTTGCCCTTTTTTTTCGTGTTGCACAGCACGATTTTAAAAGCAATGTATTTCTACTGCCTGCAGCACGTCTTTTTCTCCGGTCGGGTCGAGGAAGACCGGAAGCTGTGTGGTTCATAAAAACATTTTCTTACTCAATATCAAGCCACAGTTATTGCTTTTATTTGAAATCGTATAATTTCGGACTTTTGTTGCCGTCTGTGAGGAAAATAAATGGGGCTCAGAGCCTCAGAATACGGAAATCTGTATTTTTAAATATTTGTTTCCTTCTAATTCGATATTCTTTTCAAAATAACACACTGTTATTTACTCACCAATAACACACAATTATCCTTGCTTTTATTTATTGGTTTAATTCCATAATCTCGGGCTTTTTTGGCGTCCGTCAGGAACTGAATTTCAAAATAAAAATAACCGGAAACAGACGTAGGCCTATAAGGGACATTTCGAGCATCATTGCGATTGTCAACATTTCTGAGTTTAGGATGGCCGAAGACACTACACTACCCATAATCCCCAGCTATCGTTTAGGACTACAGTCCCCGTAAGGTTACGCAGAGCGTCAAACAGCTGTGTGAAATGGAACGAAACCACGCCAGACTATCCAAAACTGGAATCGAACGCCCCCCCAGAACTACACATGCTGGCTATTGTGTTTCACAAAATGTTCTATGGGACGTCTCTACTGAACGTTTTCGTTTTTCCCACAATTAGAAGTTGCCAGTATTAAACACATTGGTGTTATCAAATGTAAAACATATAATTAATAAATGGGTGAAAATCGCTTGTGTCCATAATGCGCAGCATTAATACCCACATGACAGCTCATTGTTACTTTGTAATTCTACTCCACTACAATTCAGAGGTTAACCTGGTAT